TAGGCATTGGGGAAGGGGAAGGTGCTCCTGGAGGGGAGGAATCCAAAAGGCCGTGACCCACTCTGGACACAGAAGGACAGGGTTCATCTGGATCCCAGGGAAGGGGAGAGGCTCGCTGGGCGGGTTGGGGAGGGACTCGGCGCCTGGCCCGCACCTGGCAGCGACTGACGATGTCGGCGTCCGTGGCCAGCAGGTCCACCACCTTGCCTTTGCCCTCGTCCCCCCACTGCGCGCCCAGCACCACGGTCACGCGGGAGCCTGTCGCCGCCACCTCCTGCTGTAGCCGCCCCCGCTTGACTCCGCCCGCGCCGGGGGGCCGGTCGTTGGAGGCTCGGGTCCCCGACATGCTGGCTTAGCCGGTCCGCTGCGCTGGGCCACAAAAGAGCCAGCTGCCGCCAGCGCTCTCTCACCATTAAATGCGGCCGCCTTGAGCTGGGGGCGGGCCGGGGGCGGGTCCTGCGCGTGCGGTGATGCGCCTGGGTGACCTGTGGCCTCAGCTCTCCGCCCCTGCCGCTGTCGTAGCTGGTGGCGCGTTTAGGGCGCAGACACCCCCAACACAATTCCGGCAAGCAAATGACCCAGAGATCCAGGGACGCAAGGTGGGTCAGTGTTGTGTGACCCGAACACTTTAGTCCTCTGCCCCCTAGACTGCCAGGACTAGGGTTTGTGGTTGCAGGAACTGCAAAGGTGGCTGGCTGTCTTTTACCGGGCAAGAGAGTGTTAGCAAAAGCAGAATTAAAAGTGCGTCCTTGCCGCTAACCTGGAGGATCTGCCTGCGGGATCGCCTGCTCTTCCATGGTGAACTTCGAGTTGAGGACTGGGTCTCCTGAGGGCCGCCCAGAAAGTCACCTTAGCTGAGGATAGCCTCTCTCCACAGAGCCACATAGTCACCCCTCCGGGCCCAGGACATGCTGTGGAGGTGGCATGCAGCTCTGGGATGGTTGTAGCTCGCCACTGGACTCTAGTCCCAAGAGTAAGATGAAGCACCCCAAACAACCCGATCAGATCAACTTGAGAGACACAGGAGTACAACAGGGTCCAGGTTTCCCAGAGACCAACACCAGACTTCGGTGATGATAGCCTCTACCACTCCTGGGAGCCCACCCTGGTGCACTGCTTCGCCTTGCTCTTGCTTGCTCCTGGGTGGTAGATGAAGCAGGGACAAAGGAAGGCCTTGGGGCTGGGAGGACTGCCCCACCCCCGGGGGCTCATGTGTGCTTCCAGAGTGTGCTGACTGACCTCTGAACAGGTCTGTAGAACCATCAGGCTCCTTGCAGTCCTGGGGCCAGTTCCCAGATCTGTCACAAGACCAGGGAGACTTGACACACCCTCTTGGGGCCTGGCCCTCACCCCCCAGCTTGGGGAAGAGATGCTGCTCCTACTCAGCCTCAGTCAAACTGCTGCTACCTCCCTCCTTCCTCCCTGTATGCAGGTGACTGTAATGTGTCCCTGTTTCACAGGGGACATAGACACTCGCTATCCTTCAGTTGCTGTGGGTGAAGCAGCCAGGGACTACCTCCAGAAGAGAGCTTCAGCCTTTATGTGCAGACTACATATCCTTGCTTCCCTCACTCGGCCACAGTGGGGAGCAGACAAACTAATAGAAGCAGGATAGAGTCAGTGGTCCAGACCAAGAGCTCCCCAGAAGCAGCTGGGGAAGACAGGAAAACCCAAGGAGAGCTTACTCCTGGAAAGTGAAGCAGAGGGTGCACGGGAGAGGATGAGGGTCATAGGAGGTGGGGGGGGGCACAGCAGTTTCTGAGGAGTGAGGCAGGAGAGAGGCTAGCAGAATGATGCAAGGGTTAGTGAGTTTTGTCTCCAGGTGAGAGAGATTAGGAATTAAGAAGGCCCATGTTGCAGCAGGGTGGTGGTGGCACATGGCTGAAATCCTGGCACTCAGAAGGTAGAGGCAGGAGGATCTCTGTGAATTCAAGGGCAGCCTGGACTCATGACTGCTGGGGCTACACAGAGAAACCCTGTCTAGAGAGAGAGAGAGAGAGAGAGAGAGAGAGAGAGAGAGAGAGAGAGAGAGAGAGAGAGAGAGAGAGAGAGAGAGAGAGAGAGAGAGAGAGAGGGAGGGAGAGGGAGAGGGAGAGNGGAGAGAGAGAGAGAGAGAGAGAGAGAGAGAGAGAGAGAGAGAGAGAGAGAGAGAGAGAGAGAGAGAGAGAGAGAGAGAGAGAGAGAGAGAGAGAGAGAGAGAGTGTGTTAGTTTGCCCTTGTTCTCTGGGAGGTGTTGCTGCAAGCGGGAAAGGAGTCCTGGCTCCCTTTCCTGGGGTTCTGGGTGAGAGACACGGGTCGGGGGCTCAGAGGGATCTGTTATGGGGGCTTAGGTGGGTCCTGGGACACTGACTCTCTTAAGCCAGGGACTATAAATAGCCAAAGGCCCAGATAGAAGGGGGAAGGTTTTTTTTTTATAAAAATAGCTTCAGTCAAGCTCAACAGCTGAGCCCTGACAGTCATGAGCCTCAGCCGGAATTAGCACCCCACCCCCTCATCGAGCCGTTCCAGGGTAGTGGGCAGTGTAACAGCCACTAAGTTTGGGGGGGGGGGTCTGGTTTTGCAGCTGTGTGACCTCAGACAAGTGGCTTCAACAGTGCTTTGCATGGCCTTAGGGAGAGAGTGTGTAGGCACGGCACCACTATGGTTCCCTCTGGATCACCATGAGACTGCGACACAGACGCTGCACACGAACTGGTACCCGTCAGCCTGCAGGTGCCAGGTGCTTCATAGTTGCCACAGGGCTGGCTTCTTCCACACCTGTCAGCCACTAGGTTGACTTTCAGCAAGCAGTGGGGACAGAAGGCTAGGGAAGCAGCCCTCTGTCTGCAGCCAGTGAAATACTGGCCTCACTTGAGGCTTCAGCAGGTTTGACTGATAAGGTAGGCATTCTACCCAAAAGTCGACAACACTACTCAATTTTACTTTAATATCTGGGAGCTCCAGAGTGAGAAAAGCAGAGTCAAGTTGCTTAGAAACAATAGCCCGAGGGGCCAGTAAGATGGTTTGAATAGTTTGAATGGTAAAGACACCAAAGCCGACAACCTGAGCTCCACCCCCTGGATCCACGTGGTAGGAGAGAGGCAAACACCCCCTTCCCCATTAAAAAAAAAATTAAAAATATCCCTGGTAGGAATAAGGCAGCAGCTTTGAGAAAGTCTTTAAGTCCAGGCGGGTGTGTAGAGCAGAGATGAAACAGTCCACTCTCGGCCTTGCAGGCACACGCTGCATTTAGCACCATCCCCACACCCTCGCAGAATGACCCACACGCAGAGGCAGTTAAGTGGAAAGCACAATCCAGCCGTGTCACAGACTGTGACTCAACCATGAAATAGGAAGCACGGCTCCATGCATCTCGAGAACAACTGGAAGCAGCCAGCCACAGAGAGAAACATGTTGAATGCTTCCATTATACAATATGCTTAGTATGGGCAAATCCAGTGAAAGCCAGACCGTAGGGGCAGGGCCAGAATAGTGGATGCTCAGGGGTGTGAAAGAATTCTGTGGTAATGGAAAACTTTGATCATGGAATTTTTTGTTTTTGTTTCTGTTTTTTTGAGACAGGGTTTCTCTGTTAGTCCTGTCTTGGAACTCACTCTGCAGACCAGGCTGGCCTCCACCTTACAGAGATCAGCCTGTCTCTGACCCGGTGCTGAAATTAAAGTTGTGTGCCACCATGTCTGACTTGATCATGGAGTTTTTTTAAAAACTGTTTTTATGTGCATATCTTGCCTGCATGTATGTCTGTGCACCATGTGCATGCCTCTTGCCCACAGAAGAGAACATCAAATTTGCTAGGACTGGAATTACTGATGGCTGTTCGCACCTGTGAGGGTGCTGGGACAGGAACCCCGGTCCTCTGTAAAAGCAACCAGTGTGCTTAACTGCTGAGCCATCTCTTTAGTCCCTTTCATCATAAATTGCTAACCACCACACAGCCTTTAGATAGGCAAAAAAGGTTTGCAGTATGTGGAGTGAGGTTTGCAGAATGCAAATCAGCCACCACAGCAGGGTAGCCGGGGCTGCTGAGCATTTGCCTTGTCTGGCCTTAGTTCCCACCACCTCCCCAGGGCTCAGGAACCCTCAGCAGGTGCCTGGTGAGCAGCTGAGTCTGAACAAAGCAAGGGAGGACTGCAGCTGACTGTCCCAGTCTGGACTATGACCTTCCTGTGAGTCTGGGAACACGCTCCCTGGATAGTCTTTAGGGACACTCTGCCCCAGTTGCTGGCAGACAGCCAGTGGCTTCCAGGGGGCTGGGCCAGGCCAGCAGGAGCTTGAGCTTGGGCGGTGACATGAATCCCAACATTGCCTCCATGCCCCAGGCCCCTACGTCCCTCTCGGGCTGGGATCCCCAATGGCAGGGCCCTGGGGGACAGCAAAGAACTCCCTTCTTTACTTTTCCAAGGGTCTCTGAGGAACATGGCCTGCACTTGCTCACGGTTGCCCCAAACATCACCTGGTCCAGGCACGGAGTTTGTTTCTCTGGGGCTCAGTCCCAGCCTGGCCCCGAAGAGCCTCTCCAGGCAGTACATCCAGCATCTGCTGCCCGTTACCCACTCGGGGGGTTGGAAGCTTAGCTATGTGCTGCACCCATCCAGCCCACCACCCCTTTCTGGCTCATCCTCTCCCAGTGGTGGGGGACAGGCTGCTGAAGACGACTGTCAGCACTGTCTCACCCTGCTGTCTGCTGGGCGGCATGAGGGGTGAGGGCTGCGTCTGGAGACCCAGATCATTCAGGCTGGGCGGCAGCCCTTGGATACAAACTCCAAATTGGTGCTTCCTCACCTGCTCCTTTTCCACCTCTAGAAAGAGAGGAGACGGTCTTGACCACTCGTGTGTCACCACGCCTGCACTGGCTCACCCGTCCATCTTTCTACCGGTCAAGCAACCCTGCATGCTGCACCTAGCCTTTCACTTGCCTCCATGTAGTCCCACCTGAGCTACAAGGCGAAGGCCCTCTCCACAGTGTTGCCACTCGTCCCATGGTGTAAACACAACGGTCATGACAGACAAGGTTGCTTTTTATTGGTTAAAATCCCCACTGGGCTCCAAACTCAACAGTGCACACCCTGGAGTGGGGACAGGGGAGCCGAGCAGGGGCAGCCTGCTCCTTGCTGGGCCGACACTGAGGGAAATGGCAGCTGTTGTGGTCCCCTCTCATTATTCAGCTCTTCTTGTTCCTTGGGGCCTACCAGCCAGGATCTTCCCACAGCACTGCCAGCAAGCCTCCCTGGAGCCCTTGCCATCCCCAATTCAGCCACAGCAGAAGAAAGATGCAGAAAACAGTACTCAGCTAAAAATCAACTGCGCCATGGAGGCAGGCTGGGGATGCTGCAGCCCACTGCAGGCGTTTGTATCTCCCTCCCACCCCTGCGGTGCATGCGGTAGGGGTGGGTAGGGGTTTGCAAAGCGGATTGTGAGCCTATGAGCGTGCAGGTGGTCCAGGGTGATGCCAAGTCAGGTCCTAGCATCAATGGCCAAGGTTTCCAAGGATCCCGGCTGGGTAAGGCACGGAGTTTCGGTTTCTCGGGGGCCCAGTCCCAGCCTGGCCACGAAGAGCCTCTCCAGGCAGCAATCCAGCATCTGCTGCTGTACTGAGCCGTTCAGGACACTCACTTAGCTTTGGGCCTGGACCTGAGGCCTGTTGGGAAGGAAATGACAAAGTCAGGAGCAACCTTCCTCAGAAAGCTTCAGCTGCCCTCTGTGGGTCTCAATGCCAAGGTTATGATGTGTATCCAGGTCCACTCTGACCCCAGGTTCTTCTCCGGGGCAGCAGAGTTCATCTGAGTGGATGGAGCCAAGGTGATACGAGCAGGCTGCCCCTGCAGAGGCTGTCCCAGCCAGGCTTGGTGCCTTAGCTCGATTCCACCTGCAGTGGGGTCCGTGGGGTCTACTTCTCACCTCTCAGACCCCACACCCACTCTCTATTCTCACCAACCTGCACTGGGCCCTTTGAGCTGGACTTGGTCCTTCCTGCTTTCTCTCTGGCTAGGTGCTGACCAAGGAGGGTCCTGGACTGGCAGTCACACACTTAACTGCCACCAGCCTGCCCCCGTAGGAACCCTGATCCCAACACTCTATGTGCTTCCTAAAAACCCTGCTTTTCCACCAGTGGTAGGTGGGGGTCCAGGCTCCCCTGGAGGCTTGGGTTTGAGAATCTGTTCAAGATGAGAGAAAATGAGTGGAGCAGCAGCTAGCGGCCAAAACATCGCCCAGGGTGTTATCAGGACATCCACAGGGAGTGAAGAAATGAACCAACAACCAAGGCAGGGGAGTAGCAAGTCCGGGTTAGTTAGAACAGTGGTAGGCAGTATGAAGAGGCTGCTGGTCCAGGGACACAGGAGCTGGTCTCCATCAAAGTGCATTATACAATGGGGCAGACCATGTGCAGGATTAACACTGCTGAAAAAGTGAGGGAAGACACCGTGATGCTGGGCCCCAAGAGGAATGGCGTTCTGACCTCCCTGTGGGTCTTGCCTACAATGAACCAACAGCCCTCATCCTTGTACCTCGATCCTGAGACTTACGCCCAGTGGCCAGCGGGTTCTAAGTGCCAGGCAGACCCAGGGTCCCTGAGCATAGCCAGAGGTGCTTGGCACTTGTTCAGCCTGGACTCATGGCTCATGACGGGCCAGGATCTTTTGTCCTAAGCTGGGCCTTCCTCCATCCACGAAGCCTGGCCACGGAGCAGGGCCCAAGCTGGTCCAACAGCATCTCTAACCTCTAGAGTCATGTCACTGGCCCTGGCTGTCTTGCCATAAGTGGGGTCCAGAAGACCCCTATGGCACATACAAGGAAGACCTGGCATCTAAACTGATCCCTTTCTGCTCCTGGGTACAGGAATGGGAGGCCCAGGCACCTTTGCCTCTGGCAGCAGCTGCACTTGAGACATCCATTTCCTTCCAGTCTCTTTGGGCATGTGTTTGGCCTTAACCTGTACCATGGAAGAGCTGGGATAGTCTTGGGAGGGTTGGCTCCATGCAGAGGGACCATGTCTTCTGGGGAGTTGGGGTTAGTAAAGCTGCAGAGTTACCATGACCCTGGGTAGGGCTGTGGCACAGATAGGAACAACCTCAGTCTGTCCTGCAGGACCAAGAAACAGTCATCCCCGAAGATCCCACACTGTACCCACAAAGGCCTGAGATCCCACTCCCTACAGGAAGCTTGGCTTTATCTACCCTTCCTTGGAAGCCCATTTGGAGTCCAGCTCTGAGGTTGTGTCTAGCTGGGGGAGAGAAGACCCTGGGGCAGGCAAGGCTTGGCAGCTGGGCCTTCTCCAACAAGGCAGGAACAGCAAGGGCACCATTACCAAGAGCCAAGGTTGGGATTTGCTGATAATACCCAGAGGGCTGTAGAGAAGCTAGGTTAGTGCCCAGGAGGGTCAGGCAGCAGGCTGAGGCCCCAGCACCCGCTGCCACCATTAGTCAACATAAGCCAGGCTGCATACATACCTCACTGGATCACACACAGCCTTTTTGTTTTATTATCATCAGAATCAGGGACAAACTCTGCTTCCAAATAAAAGAAACACACTCATCAGCTCATCACAGGTGGGCAGCTCTGAGCTCAGGGTGGTGGGATCTGTGGGGGACAAGCTAGCCATGGCAACACTCTTGGTCAAGCCCAGATTCTCTGGGTCACAGTGACAATGGCAGCTGCACCCAAGATCTTAATGCCAGACCACCCTGCAGCAACAAGAGTCAAGGTCCACCACCCTGCTCCACTCCCTGCAGAAGGGGTGTGAAGGCAGGAATTTGCAGGCAAGGGTGACGCGAGTGGTGGCCCCCAAAGCGGCCCTCTGTGTGAGGTGCTGTGTCCCATTGAATCACCCTGTCTCCTGGACGCTGGTTGAGCCTGTAGTACCCGCAGGGATAGGGGAGGGACCAGCTGGATGGCAGGGAGAGGTCCCAGGCCCTGTAGTGGGACAATCAGCTCTAACCACATGCCCAGACCCAGGCGCCCCCAGCCTTGCTCACCGCAGCTCGCTTCCCACTTACCTTCTTGGTTTCTTGAGGGACGTTTCTTCCTTCGCTTGCTTGTCCCCTTTGAGACCCGGCCTCGAACCCTGGGGAGGGTGCCAGACCCTGAGGAATCTGTCACTGCATCCTCAGAAAAGGACCTGTCCAAGGACGTGTCAAGCGCAGACTCTGGGGCTGTGTCGTCCTCATCCTCATCCTCTCCAGGGCCTGTGCAGGGGAGGTGGGTGCTGTGGCCGCACTCAGCTGTATCCTCTGCTCCCTCTCTCATGCTGTCAGCCTTGGCTTGGTGGACACCCCTCAAGGCTTCAGCATCCATAGCATCCTGCTGTGAGCTCTCAATTCCAGGAGGTTTATTGCTAGAGAACTCGAGGGGCTTCAAGGCCTGAGCATCTCCCAGAGTCACTGGCCAGGCGCCCTCAGAGGGCTGGGCATTCGGGGTATCTTCAGGGACCAGGAAGTCACTGGCATCCACATACCAGGAAGAGCGCCTCTCCAGGGCTGGGGGGCCACCTTCCTCCTTGGAGGGCTGGGGGCTGGGGGCTAAAGCGTCCACAAGGTCCCAGCCCTGTGGCTCGCCCGCTGCTGTCGTATCCAAGCTTGACTCTGAGATAGGGTGGTCTGTGCCTTGTATAGGGTTGCTGGCAGCTGCTGTGGATGGAGGGATATGTCAGTGACATGAAGTGGGGCATTTTGGTCCCACTCCTGGAAGTGTTCCTGACTCTGAGCCCTCCTAAACTACTCCAAACTTCAGTCTCAGGGACCCTCCAGCATGGCTTCTTATGGGTCAAGGCAGGGCAGTATCTTCAGTCTGGCCACACACGGGAGACTGGGAGGATACCCAATGGGCCACAAAATCCAACCGTTTTCATCAGAGCTCCAATAGTGGAGCCCTTCCTAAGGTCTGCCTGTCTTAACATCTCAGGTGCCCAGAACTCGGGTTGTCTATCAGCGGACCACAACTCCCACAACTCCTGGCCACCCAAAGGCACAGCCCTCTCAGGGGGCCTTTTCAGAGCTGTGCCAACGGGACCTCCACCATGCTCCCCACTTTAGTGTCTCCAGGGACGTGTGTGTAGGGTTCCCAAAGAGCCTCAGGTCCCAGAAGGCTTCCTAGATGTAAGCATAGGTGGGAGGGCGTGGGAAGGTCACAGGCTCGGGTCTCACCAGGCTCTGGGGCCTTTGGAGGGTCTGTTGGAGCCACTCTGCTGCCCGCTTCAGCGTCCCCTCGGCCCCGGGCTGTCTTCCGTAGCTGGAAGCCCTTCCTGATGTCGGCCAGCAGGGCATCGATGACACACACCTCTTCTTGTTTCCCAGGCCCCTTCCTGACTGCAGAGCCACAGACCTCAGAGGGCAGCCCAGAGACCCCAGGCCACCCCAGGGATCCCCAAGAGAGCCAGAGAAGCACGGAAAGGCTTGGGAGAGGAAGGACAGCAGCTCCACCTGGATCCCAAGCCTTGTAACTGTTCCCACCTGTCCCCGAGACCCACCAGGCTTCCCATCCTCGCCCCTCGGCCTCCGTGCCTCCTCCTCTGCCAACTGCTGTTTCCTCCTCTCTGCCTTCGCCATCTGTTCCTTCCGGTCCTTGTTCTCCTGTTCAGACAGACAGGAGCCTCGTCATCCATCCCAGTAACCCACAGCGGGAATACTGAGGGACAAGTACGGTGGGGGCTCACGGCTGCACCTATCACAGCTGGGAACAGAGGGGCTGCGAACCCCACTCTGGTCTCAGGCATCACCTAACTCCCCTGGGCCCACCACACCTTCAGGGCACGGGTGAAGAGGTCTCGGAAAGTCTTCATGGTGTTGAACGTGTCCTCTAGAGACAGCTGCTGGGCGTCTTCACACAGGTAGTCGGCCAGCTCCAGCTTCTTCTGCTCAATGGCCTCAAATACCTTGTCTAGTGCTTGAGAGGCCTCGATGCTGGCCTGGGGACATAAGCCACAGTCACTCCACGGTGAGCCAGGGGAGCATGCTGGTGAGACCTTACGCCCAGGACCCTTGAGCAGATGTCTCCATGTAGAGTAGGGCTTGGGGCATGCTGGATGTTCCTGGGAGCTTTAGCCTAGGGCCACGGAGTCCATACCCTACAGGAAAGACTAGGACAGGAAGCAGAGAAGCGGCTCTGCTGACTCAGGCTCTCTATCCCCTTGGCCTGTGCTCACAGTGGAGCTGCTCACCCATCTACTCCCTCGACTGTACTGAGGAGAAGCCTCTTCTGCCAACCATAGGACACCCACTGGCCAGCCTTACCTGGAGGCGCTCAGCATACTGTTTTTTCACCTCAGGGATTGAGGCGGACACCTTCCGCTCTGTTTCCAGAAGCTTCTTCAGGTTGGTGCTGGCCTCTGAGCGGATGATCTCCAGGTTGATTCTGAAAGGCACCGAGGGGCAAGATGGGCAAGGTAAATCAGGCATCAGCTGACACCTGTCACAGTGGGCCCTTGTCTGCACAGCCCCTGGGACTGTATCAGCCCTCTTCACGCACCCCCTGCCAACCCTGGGTCCACCACAATTCTCACACTGCAGGTCCCAGAAACCAGCCAATCCTGATGACCCTGTATGGTAGGTTAGGTGCCTATTCTAGTGACACTCAGATCAGTCAGACTGACAGGATACTGACCCCTCGCTGTAGAGTGGGCTCTGTTTCATACTGAGCACACCTGGGAACCTCTGCCCAGCTGCTAGGCCCACTGTCACTCTTGTTTGACTGGCTCTAAGGCCCAGCAGCTGCTGGACCAAAAGCTCCCAGGGCAGTGGAGCATGATGGGAGCATAGACTATGGAGCTGGTGTGTCCAGTTAGCCTCTCTGCTGGGTGATGAGACTCCAGGATGACAACACCACTTCCCTGAGACTCGGTTTCCTCACCTGAATCATGAGGTGGCGGGACCTAGCTTAGGCTGTTAGGAAGGCTCACTTTGTAGAGATGCTGTGCCAGACTGTCACCCCATCCCTTCCAGACTTCACTTTCTGATCTAGGTCATAGTTAGAGTGGACACAGTCCCAAAGTGAAAGTCGGCATTCTCTGGGGTAGGGGGTCCTGAGGCACCGCTGTGGCCAGGCTCTATGGCAAGGCAGCTGGGATCAGAGGTTGGGGCCCAAGCTGCTAAGGCATTAGGCTAGCAGGAGCACCCACCCTGCAGCTTGAGAGGGCGGCTCCAAGTCCCGCGGCAGCTGTAGGAGGTCTGGGTGGCTTTTCTCTACTTCCTGTAACACAAGGTGCCCAGTAAGATCCTGGTGACCCCACTGAGCCTGTGGATATTACCCTGTACAAGCATGGGTAGAACCTCCACCAACTCTTTGACCACTTGGGGCCTCTAAAATCCAGCCATGGGCCTGTGGTCTTGTAACAGTTTTGCTTTCCAGAGGTGGGTGACAGTAGAGGGCCTGTCCCGATGTTTGGGGGGGGGGGTAGGTAAGGCCTGCTGGGGATGGGCATTGTTGAGGCTCAGTCTCTAGAATAATTAACAGGCCTAAGGCCAGAGTAAGGTCTGGCAAGAGAAGGGGACACCCCATCCGCAGGTTCCCGGAGGTCACCTCCAGCACATGGTGCAGCAGCGTCACGCGACTCTGCTGGGACTTGGTCTCTGTGAGCTTCAGCAACGTGCTAATCTTGAAACCATCTGCATCTCCTGTGTGGCTGCCCTATGAGGGAAAGGGGGTGAGTCCCAACTCCCCTCCAACTCCCAGGGTATGGGATGAGTCCCTCAACCCCTGGGGTGTGGTGAGCCCCCCCGACTCTCAGGGTGTGGGATGAGCTCCCCGACTCCCAGGGTGTGGGGTGAGCCCCCTGCTCTCAGGGTATGGGGTGAGCCCCCCGACTCCCAGGGGGTGTGTGGTGAGCCCCCCAACTCCCAGGGTGTGGGGTGAGCGCCCCGACTCCCAGGATGTGGGGTGAGCCCCCAACTCCCAGGGTCTGTGGTGAGCCCCCAACTCCCAGGGTGTGGGGTGAGCCCCTGACTCCCAGGGTGTGTGGTGAGCTCCCCGACTCCCAGGGTGTGTGGTGAGCGCCCCAACTCCCAGGGTGTGTGGGAGCCCCCTGACTCCCAGGTGTAGAATGAGTCCCCTGACTGACTCTCAGGGTGTGGGTGAGTCCCTTGACTCCTGGAGTATGGGATGAGCCCCCCGACTCCCAGGGTGTGGGGTGAGCCCGACTCCCAGGGGGTGTGTGGTGAGCGCCCCGACTCCCAGGGTGTGTGGGAGCTCCCTGACTCCCAGGTGTAGAATGAGTCCCCTGACTGACTCCCAGGGTATGGTGGGAGGTGGGTCACAGGACAATTTTGACTTACATAGTTGAGGAAATTCCCAATCTTGAGGATCAGCTGGCAGAAGACAGGCAGCCGTTGGCTGGTGAGCAGGCCTGTGATGGAGAAACAGGGTTGAAGTAAAGCCCAAAGTCTCCATGTATCCCAGAGTGTGGCTGTTTGCTTGGCTTCCTGACCCTGGGCCTATCACAGCACCAGAAGGACACAAGGCAGGGGCTACCTGGGACTATGCGCTCCTATACCAATAGTATAGGGACTCTCGAAACACTTCCTGCCATGGCCATGTTTGCTGAGCCCTCAACTCCAGCAGGTGTACGGCCACTACAGGTCCTATGGGTGAGGACTCTGGAATGCCACCCTCGTTCTCAGGTCCCTGTCCCTTAGGCTGCAGGGAGGACACTCCTGGCTCAGTGGCTGAGATGGGAGCAGCTATGTACCATGCTGTGTGCCGGAGAGGAGTGAGCTGTCCCTGGGCCACTGGAGCCCATCTATGTCCCTGATCTGGTGGCTAAGCGGGTCTCTGTCATTCTTTATTCACGGAAGAGGAATGCATATATGTCTTTGTGTTTCTGTGTGCTGTGAGTGACTGCATATGAATATATCTGCATGCATGCTATACCTGTGGGTATGGACTACGTATCCTCACTCATGTGTGCAGTAACTTACTGTGGAAGTTACTGTACTGAGTGTACAAAAGTGTGTGTGTGTGTCATGTGGAAATGGTAGAGGTGACCATGGGCTTTGGTGGAGAAAGCCAGCAACTTCACAGCTCTCGATGGCCATGCCATGGCTACAGCAGGGGTTGACGCGTGGCAGGCCTGTCCCTCCCAGCCCCATAGGCTTTTGGGCCCCACTCACTCTCGCAGGCGGTGAGCACCAGCTGGGCCTTGGGCCGCACCATGTCCAGTACGATGGCCGTGCCCTCACACAGCATCATGCACTCCACCCGCAGCTGGTAGCTGGTGTGGCAGAGCAGGGGGTTAGGGCCCGGAGGCTCCACCATGCTTGCCACCGGGAACATGCTCTGCCCTTGGTGGGTGGTCTGGGGGGAGGGGTCCCATGGCCTGGCTGGGGAACGTGCACATTTCTAGGCCTGTGCCCAGGACAGAAATAGGGCCTGGACAAGGCGGCAGCTTAGGGGGCCCGGAGCTTCTCAGGAAGACTCTGGCCTCAGGACTTAAGAGGTCACCTCTGCTTTCTCAGAGAGGACGAGGAACATGGTGACACTTAGAGATGACTCATTCTCGGAGCCCTAGGGACTGTGTACAACTGCCTTCCTGACCCCTTCCTCCGCTCCTAAGCTTGGCCCCTACCCTACTCTCCCCATCTTTCCCTCCCCACAGGCTAAGCAGGAGCCCAGGGCTGCTCACCAGGGAATGTCCAAGAGGAGAATGTAGAACTGGTCAGCACTGGCCAGTTTGGCTCGCTCCTCTGTGAACGCCCGCAGGTTCTCAATCTGCACGGATGCCACATGTAGGAACCATGTCTGCCTGCCCGACACCTGCCTCCCTGCACCTCCTTATCAAGGTCCGTGTTGGCTCCCAGCCTTCCAGTGGCTCTCCAAGGGGGTGAGATGGTTCTCCACAGGGGCGAGGCGGGTCAGGACCTCACTATCCCTGCTTCTTTGGTTGGTTTGGGCCCCTGCTCACCTCATGCTTTTCTGGAAGGAGCTTTAGGAGCTGTTTGAGGACCTCTACATCAAACTTGGTTGTGTCTCCAGCCCGGATCATTGCAGTGACTTCTTCATTGGAGCTGGGGAGGGTGAGGGCAGGGGTCAAGAAGCATGATGACAAGAAGCAGTTGTACACCCCTGACTCAGAGGTGGGGGTGGCTGATGGGCATCTTGGAAGGGTAAAGGTTTAGAAACTGGCAGGCAGGGCCTACCTAGTCTTCCCTTGACTTGGTCACAGCTTGCTTATGGCCTAGGGGTCTACCTCAGGGATTTTCTGGGCCTCACTTTCACCCTGGCCTCTAGAATTTTCGATGAGACAGTCTGTGGCAGCTATCATACACTATCTCCTGCCCTGGGGATGAAGCATGCACAGACATGGCCAGTCTGCAGAGGGCGCTGCTGGGCAGACCTGGGAAGCTCAGGGCAGAGCTGGCCGCTTGCCTGGGGCTGAATTTGACAGTAACGTGATGTCCCTCACTCACCATTTAAATTGTTTCAGGAAGATGTTGAGGTTCAGGCTCTTTTTGGAGTCCAGAAAAGTGACCTAGAAAACCCACCTTTTAGCTGGTATTTGGAGGGTGGGCAGAGCAGGTCATTCTATCCCCGCAGGAGATGGTCAGAGTCCACCTAACCTCTTTGGGTTCCTTCCTGATGGGGGCAGCAGAGGGCTCCTTGGGCTTAGCAGTGGGGAAGGAGAAGAGCTGCTCAATGCTGGAGAAGTCAGGTTCCACCACCTCTGTGCAAGGGCTGCTCAGTGTTGCCCACATGGAGTTGCGTTCTACAGGGGAGGGATGGACAAGGTACCCTGCTGAAACTTCTCCTTAATGTGGGCTGATGGGTCCAAAGGCAGGTGTGCTGAGGTCTCTGGGGACTGAGCAGGAGCCTGGAGCCCAGCCTGGGTGGCATATCTGATAAAGGAAACCTCCAAGCTGTTTCAGGCTGTGTGCATGCATATGGGCACACACACCCACGCTGGCAGGCGACCTGGGCTCTCCGGCTGGCCTTCTCTGAGCATCAGCACCTGACACCTAGGGCACTACAGATAGCCTTCAGAGGAGGGCAGGGCCTTCGGCAGCAGACACCTGTGACCCACAGGGCTCTGAGGTGGTGGCTTCTTCCCATGCAAGACACATAAGAACTGGACTCCGACAGGGGCCTGGCTGTCTTGACTAAGTGGATGTGGACACTCACAGGAGGAATGACCAGTGTGTACCTACCCTCCCCAGAGGCTGGCTTGGAACGAGGGCTTACCTCGTGCCACATTGGACGGCAGCTTCTGCCAGTTCAGCTTCTTCATACGCAGTGTGGGTGGATTCACCCTCCGGTGACTGGGGACCCAGGCTGAGTCCAGGCCGGGGACCACCCGAGCCACAATGATCTCCTCCACACCACCCACCATGGAGGGGACAGAGAAACCAGGCAGGGGAGGAGGTGGGGGAGGAATCCCGCCTGTTCCAGGTAGTGGGGGAGGGGGAGGAGGAAGAGATGGACCACCCATGCCAGGGAGTGGGGGTGGGGGTGGGGGCTGGGTCCTCCAGGAGTCAGACAGAGGTGGAGGTGGTGGAGGTGCTGGGGGGGACATGGCCTCTGAGCCTGGTAAAGGAGGTGGTGGTGGGGGTAGAGGAGATATGGTCCTTGAGCCTGGCAAGGAGGGTGGCAATGGTGGGGGTGGAGGGGGTGCTGGGGGAGATATGGTCCCTTGGCCTGGCAGGGGGGGTGGGGGTGGAGGGAGCACAGGGGTGGAGCTGGAGAGCGGTGGGGTAGGTAGAGGTGAGGCTGCCTGTTGGAGGGCTGTCTGTGGAGCTATGTCATCACTGGGGCTCTGGCTGCTGCCCACATGCTGGCAGGTAGAAGCCACTGCCAGCTGCTGGCCTTCCACTTTAGCTGTGGGAGTAGTAGTGTTTAGGGAGGAACTGTCCCGATTCTGGCCTAGGTTGGCCTGGACACTCTTGTGGGCCTTGTCCAGGGGGCTTGGTCGGGGCCGCCCTTTGATGGACAGCAGTCGCTCAACTACTTCCTCCAGGGTGCAAGCCTGGGCTGCAGGAAGGAAGTGTGCAGAGTTAAGGGAGAGGGCCAGAGATGGGAACAAGGCAAAGGGACATCACCTCCCACATGGCCGAGGATCTCAGGGTCTTCCCAACAGGCTGTGCCCCCCTGCATGCCTTGCCCCTCCCAGTTTCTCACCATCGCTGGCCAGGAGCACAGCCCGGTTCACCAGGTTCTCCAGGGCCTCCCAGAGCAGCTGGCCTGAGCGGCCGGCAGGCTCCAGGTGCATGAGACCCTGCAGCACCGACAGCAGCTGGGCTGACGCTGGGGAACAGCTCACCTGCAGTAACCAAAATAGAAAGGTAGATGGTCATCCCCGCCCTTGGGCAGGTGGCTACCCACCAGCCCATGCGCCAGGGGCGTCCTGTCCTAAAGCCCCTTCACCTGAAGCCCGGGTGATGGGTGGCACAGATGCAGAGCTCTTTGTGGTACTGGTGGTATGAGGATCACCCTATATGCTGTAAGATGTTAAATGGTACCCCTGGTTTCTACCTATTACTGTCAACCCCAGATGAGGGCTGCTGCATTCAGTGACTAAGACTCGGGGGGCATGTAAACTCAGACTCCTGACCCCTCACCTGGCATTAAGTTACCTGAAGTCCCCAGTAATCACTACCTAGCGGAGGCACAGGAAGACACAGTCAGTTTGGACAACTTTGACCTCTGGAAGCTTGTCTTGCATTATGACCCCATCTCCAGGACAACACAGTCCCTGCCTATGACCCTAGCTCTGTGCCTGGCCATGGTGGGACTGCACCTTGTGGAACAGGGAGGCGAAGACTTCCTGGTGGCTGTTCATGTTGATACCGTCGCAAACACGCTGCAGTTCCTCCTCATCCTCTGCTTTGGCCTCTTCGAAGGCTTCCAGCTGGATCAGCAGGTCAGCATCCTCTAGGTCTCTAGGGGATGAGGACCGCCAGTTGAGCCGCTGTCCCACCGGACCTTTCCTTACAGTCCAGGCTGCATGCAGCCACCTCTACGCTGCCCACCTGAGCACACTGGGCAGCGTTCCTAGCCAGGCCCAGTGAGCTGCAGCCAGCAACTGCAGCAAGAATGGATCTGAGTTTCTCACCCTGCCAGGCTGCTCGGGGGTCACCTGGGTATGTCCAGGCATGGGGTAGGGCAGATTCTCATGACAGGTACAGGATGGGGTTGGGCCCTCATGTTAGAGGTTAAAAAAAAAAAACCCACAGTCAAGATCATACTTGAGGCAGGCCACCATGAAACATGAGAAGGGGTGGGCCTGGCCTGAGTCAGCTGTCAAGTGTATATACTGGGGCCAGGTGCTGCCACTACCTCAGCCTGGCCACTAACTGACCTCCTCACTGCCCACCTGGGGACAGGTCCCAGAGCCTTGCACTGGGCTAGTTTCACAACAGTAGAGTCTCTATGGCTGCTCATGCTGACTTCCTGGAGGTAAAGAGCCCCAGTGGGGTCTGTCTTGAGTGTAGTCAGGACTAGGGTTCTCAACTGGACAGGCTCCCTTTGGAGACACCAGGGTCAACACAGACTCCAGGCTGTGTTATACCCGAGCTTCGGAGCAAGGTGAGCAACTGTCCATAGAAGTGAGTTCTGCACCACCACTATGGGCTGCTGTGCATCTGGATCCTGAGTTAACCAGGCATTCTGGCTCCTGTGGGCAGTGCCTGAGTCCTAGGTTCACTCCTAGAAGAAACCTCTCAACCCCTCTGCAAACACTGCTTGGGCAAAATGGCTGAAACCCCAAGGAAGGACTGGGGAGGGGGCAGCTGGCAGAAGCAGCCACAGCAGGGACTCACCGTAGCCGGGTCAGAATATCCAGCAGCTGTAGCCCTGGGTTAGACAGAAGGGATTAGAAAGTCTGGAAATTGCCTTTGGCTTCTCCCTGCCTCCAGCTCCTTGTGACATGATCAGGACTCTCCGTTATCTCCCCTCTCCCTCCTTTAAGATCATCAGGGAGTCTTACAGTTCCAGAGGGGGCAAGGTCTACTGCTTATTCAGTGGCCACTGCTTGAAGGGGCAGAGCTGGAGTTGAAAGCAGGCCACCCGTCTGCCCCTACCACCCAGCCAGCTATGAAACAGAACCCTCAGCAGTGATGTCCTATCTGCCATAGGAACCGACGGCAGTAGGCGGCACTCAGACCCTGGAACACTGCCTTACTTTGGGGTGCTAGGGGATGTGGGACAGGGGCAGGATTTGCTAACAGTCCCACTTTTCCAAGGGGGGCACAGGCTGGGCTGGCCCAGCAGGCAGGCACTTTGGAGGTCAGCACGTGAGGGCACTTACCGATGAACTCACTCCGCAGCTGGGCACGAGTGCGGAGATCCTCAGGACCCAGAATGATGGCGTTGATCACGCTGAGTAGGGTGACCACATAGGGCACGTTGTCGCTGTCTGACAGCTCATTCATGATGACGCTGAAGCGGTACTGCTGGCTGCACATCGTCTGTAGGTTGGGCAGGGTCAGGATGTGCTCCAGCAGGAGATCCTGTGTCTTTGACCCAGACCCCATTACTCACCTTGTAATGGTCCAGGGCATCTAGCGTCAGGGCGTGGCCCTCAGGTGAATAGATGCACAGAGCAGCCAGCAGCTCAAACACCTGCTTCTTGACCATCACATTGGATGTATCCAGGGCTGTGAAGGGTCAGGAATGTCTCAGCAGGCCCATTGTCCTGCTGCCCCCATCCATCTTTAACACACCTGTGATCTGGTTCTGGTGCTGGTGCCTAACATGCCAACCCCAGCTAAACTTACGGCCCAGGATCTTTCCCATCCCCTCTTTCCCAGAACCCTGACTTTGCCTCTTGGGACACACACAGGTCCTTTCGGGGAATGGCAAGGGAGGTATTTGGAATCTACAGAGCCTAGCCCAGCCCAGCCCCTGCAGCTGGCTCCAGGCTCAGTGTGTTCCAAACTTGACAGCAAGGGATGGCTCCTCATCCTTGTGAGCCCTCTCCTTCTCCATCCTGAGCTAGGGAAGTTTTGGGGTGCTTCTCATCTGGCTGTGCTGAGAATAACAAGAGCTTGATGGGGGAGGGGTACAATCGGGTCCAGGCTGGAGAGACAGACTACAACTGGTGTGGGTCTCGGGCTAGACATATGGCAGCCTCCGGTTTCCTAGCTCACCCCGACACCACCATCCTAGTCGCTGCTCCCCAGAAGGTCTTAGCGCCCCAGTGGGACCTAGCTGCTTCCATTGAGGAACACACAGAGACTCCTATCCACTTGCCACAGCCAAGGCACTGCAAGAAGCCAGAAGGTAGAGCTGGTCTTGAGATAGCAAAGGCAGAAGCAGGAGGCATGGCCAGGGGTGGCCAACTAGGTATATAGAGAGGGGTGGGGGCCAGGAAAGGGGCTGAAAGGCAGAGGGCGATGTCCTTAACAGGTGAGGACCAGGCCTGAAGGGCTGTGCTGTGCTATTACAGGGCATGGAACCAAGCAGTGTACGTGCGGACCTGTTCTGAGGTCAGAGGGTAGGTAGAGCCAGCAGAAGGCTGCTGGTCACAGAACTGAGGAAACAACTAGGAACAGCTAGTGGAAGACTCGGGGCCTGACTGGGGTGAGCTGTCTCCACCTTCCTCACCTCAGGGCTGGGTTTTCCCTGATGAGCCCCCACGCCCTGCCCTCACACAATGGCCTCCAGCTCACCCTGGGAGAGTTGGCGCACATAGCCCTGGTTGCTGAGGATGTACTCAATGCCCTGCTGCGAGTTCATGACGGCACGCACACAGCTGATGCAGGTGAGCTGCAGCAGGGCGTCTGCAATGCGGGCCACGCCGCGCCCCGACAGCCGGGCCAGCGCCTCCAACAGCAGGTCCAGGCCGCTCTGCTCCAGGAACTGCACCATCCAGCTGCCATCGCTGCTCTCCAGGCGCTTGCGCAGGCCCGAGTAGTTGACCACGGAGGGCATCTGCAGCAGCCGGATGCACAGCTCAGGCTCCGCGCTCTCCAGGTTGGCCTCCGTGGGGTCTGACTCCTGCGGCCCCAGCTTCTCCTTCAGCGCTGCCCACTTGCGCTGTGCACCTTCCTTCACAGACATCTTGCTGACCTGCAGGGACAGAGGAGGACAGAGCCATCAGCCTGACCAGGAGATATACAGGACCCACAGATTAAGAGGTTAGAGGCCAGCTTGGCCATAAGTGACACGTGGAGGCACTGTTTGCTGCCTCAGTTTCTCTTTTAGGTTTCTGGCTTGTAGTCCAATAATGGGAATTTGGGACAGCCACTTTGTTTTATAAAGGCTCTTCTTGTTCCTGGATGGCATGATAGACAGGCAAGCCCTATCATATGCACAAAGACCCTAAGGCTCAGTGAGAGACAGTTCCATTAGACCTCTGTGCCTGGGTATGGGGGTATGAGTTGTGTTGCCCTGATAAGCCCCAGTTCAACTAGGAAACTGGGGTAGGCAGCAGGCAGCCATGCCAGCTGGAATGCTGTGACATCGTGGTGACGATGCATCTCTGAGGCTCCCTTATCTGGCTCCAGCTGCTTCCCCAATGCCCACAGCCTGGGAGGTGGGGACAGTGGGGGTGGGAGGAGGGGCAATCATAGGAGCAGGCTGAGGACACAATGTGATGAGATGTCCAGGGCTTAATGGAGTGGGTTCACCCAGAAAAAAAGTGAGTCCTCGGCATACAGTGCTTCACTTGGCTCATCAGCAACAGGCCCTACTCCGACTACGGAAATGCCCCCCAAGTGGGGCAGGGGCAAGTCTGGCCTAAAACATTCTCCAAATCATGTCTTTCCTCAAAGCCTAACTGTAGACAAACTGCACTCTTGTCTCCTCCATCAATGCGGTTCTCCAGGGCCAGCCCCTAGGCCCCGCTGGCTGTAAGGCTGTCATCACAGCCCCTGGGGACAGCGTCAAAGGTCAGGGGCATCCCAGGCTCTCCTGCAACCATGTATGGCTGGGATCTTAAATTTAGCATCTGAGAAAGGCATCATGGAGCCGTGGGAGGAAAACGCCGAGGGGAAGGGCCTTGGTGGGGCAAGCTCCCATAGCCGAATCCATCCTAAGGGCCGTGTCCTGCACTCTCTGCTGTATGCAGGACAGGCTTTTTACCTGCTGAATGGGAGAAGGGCTGTGGGCAGTGCTCAGGGAGGCTACACTGTGGCCACACTCACAGCAACTGGGCCCTGCAAGTGTTCCTAGAGCCCACTGAATGCTAGCAGGCTGGTGCTCTTCGTATAAGGCGTCTCCTCCAGGGAAGGGGTGAGCTCAGGCTGAAGAGGTGCCCTGAAGATCATCGCCTGAGTCGAGCGAGAGCTCAGGCACTCTGCTAGTGTGGCTCTGGCTTCCAGGCGTCTGCTGTCCTCACTGGAGGCCCTGGGTCCTGTGCTGCACCTCACTGGGGGAGGAACCCACTACCCTCCATCTCTGCTTTCACCAAATCCTAGGCGCTTCCAGCTGTCTACTCACCCAGATGCGCAGGACTTTCCGACCATCTCTGCCTACCCATTCGGGGCCCTGCCTCCAGCTTCTCATTCCTGCTGCCAGCTGCCGGTCTGGACTGGTCTCTCTTGGGTAGTGTTACGCCCTTGAAGTAGGTCTTGGTAGTAAGTGTGGGAGCTTTATCACAGAACGGAGCTGCCTGACGGGCCTCTGCACACTCCCTAGTCTCTGTGCTGCCCAAAGAGGTGCTTATAACTGGCCTCCCCACCCCCACCCCTGCCTCCATTGGCCAGAGGCCCTGTCCCCTTGGCACAGGCTGAGGGGTTGGAGTATGAACTCACCCAGACCTGGCCTCTGGCATCCAGAGTTCTCTGGCCAGGAGCTCTAGTCTTCCGTGCTGAACCCACCCAATCTTTCTGGGACATCAGGATCACCAGAGTCACTGTGCCCCAGGCTTGAGGCCCCCAGATACAAAGGTCAGGGTACCTGCTTGCCTTACAACTGCTCCTCTGGCACTTTCCAGTCCTCCTACCCCATGTGTAGCCTGTCCAAGGACTGTGAACTCACTCCGTGATGGGATCCTCCCTGCATCTGTGGGGTGGGCCCTGGATTCATGCTCGCTTTCCTGGGAATTTGTTTGTGGGGTAAGGTGGCTATGCCCCAAAGCCCTACTGGTGACTGTGTCCACCCGGTAGAGCCAGTCTGGCTGGAAACCAGGATGCCAAAGTGAGGAGACTTTCTTCCTCTGCCAGGCTTCCTACCTCTCTGTAGGATGACGCCAGTGTGGACAGCACCTGGATACTCCACAGTCTAGCAGCTTTGGCCAGGAAGGTCAACAGATTAGATCCGATTAATGATTGACAGCCGTCATCACCTGTGTGCATGTTTACAACTTAGCACCAATCAGAGAAAGGCAAGTCTAAGCAATAGGATGTCCCATTTTTGGCTGGCCTCCATGAAGCATCCTACCTCCACCCCCCCATAGAGACTATAAAGCTCTCCCTCCCCTGCCTGCTGTCAAACTTCTGACAAACACAGCTGTGGGTGACCCCTTTACTACTGCAGTCTCTGAACCCAGCTTCTGCCTTCCATGGGAGACCTGGGGAATAATACCCAGGAAAATACAGGTGCCAAACAAGGCTGGGGCAGAACCTCACTGTTTATTGTCTGTGTGTCTCAGGGAAATTCACACATGCTCTCTCTGCTGTCATCTGCAAAGTGGGTCGGTTACAGTGGGACCCACACAGAGTGAGCAGCTGGAATACTTGCAGCTGGTTTTGTTTTGCTTTGTGACAGGACTTCATGTCCTCTTGGCTGGCCCCATATTTAGTATGTAGCTGAGACTGTCCCTCACACTCCTGACCTCTTCTTACCCGTGCCTCTGAAGTGCTGGGACTAGAGGTGTGTGTCACCACAGCTGGCACGAAGCTGTCTGAATGGCATCTGTGCATTCCTGGCCCTCCCACTCCCAGCTCTGGGGCCAAGTGCTCTACTCTGAGTCAGACCTGGTAGAGACTCGGAGGGGCTGGATACCCTGGTTTTGCCTAAGGTGTCAGGGACGGCCCAGCACGGGACCATTTTCAGGTGTTTTTTTCCAGTCAGCATCCTAGGGCTGGCTCTGCAGCCAGGCTTTGGCAGATGAAACCAGGACATGGAGACTGTCCCATCTGCCTACACAGCTCACTCAGAATAATGGGACTGCAGTGGGCAGGGCCTTTGCCCGTAAAATCCCCAGATCCAAGGGCTCAGGGCAGCTTGTCCTTTATTCATGTTTTTGTTATTGTTGTTTTGCTTTTTCTTTTCTTTCTTTTTCTTTTAAAAACAGGGCATCACTCAGTAGCCCTGGCTGGCTGTGGCTGACATCGAACTTACAGAGTTCTGGGATTAAAGGTGCGTCTTGCCATGCCCAGTTTACACGTGTTTGTTTGTCTTTTTGTTTTTTTTTGAGACAGGGTTTCTCTGCAGCTTTGAAGCCTGTGCTCTTTTAGATCAGGCTGGCCTCAAACTCATAGAGATCCGCCTGCCTCTGCCTCCTGGGTGCTGGAATTAAAGGTGTGTACCACCACGGCCTGGATTTTTTTTTTTAAAGTTATCTTTATGTGCACTGGTGTTTTGCCTGTATGTATGTCTGTGTGAAGATTCTGGATCTCCTGGAACTGGAGTTATAAGCAGTTATGAGCTGCTGTGAGTGCTGGGAATTGAACCCTGGGTCCTCTGGAAAAGCAGCCAGTGTTCTTAACCACTGAGCCATCTCTCCAGCCCACACACATGGTTCTTTTTTTTTATTATTATTATGTATACAATATTCCTTCTATGTATGCTTGTATGCCAGAAGAGGGCACCAGATCTCATTATAGATGGCTGTGAGCCACCATGTGGTTGCTGGGAATTGAACTCAGGACCTATGGAAGAGCAGGCGGTGCTCTTAACCTCTGAGCCATCTCTCCAGCCCACACACATGGTTCTTAAGGGTTACTTCCCCACAAGTACAGGCCTTCCACTTCAAGACTACTCATGAAGGCAGGGTCTCCCTCAGGGTCAATGGTGACCAGCCCAGATCTGAGCATTGACAGGACTCCTAGAAAGGATCAGGGCCTGTAAGCCTCAGGGTCACTGCTTGGGAGGGTGGCTCTCACTAATAGTTGGCTGTCTCCTGCATAAGCTGTAGGCCAGCCTGGCATGGCACTGTCCACACCTCCACCCCACATGCCTGGGCAGCTACTCTGACTCATGGAACTCCAGAGGCTTCCGCCCCTGCCTAGTAATCAGACGTGAGCTGAGTGGGTGTGGAGGGCCAACTCCACTTACCCAGCATGCCATGCAAACAAACCAAGGGAGAGACAGTAGCAGGAAGCCTTGCACGGGTCCCCTGGACTCCAAAAGGGTGGCTGTGGTGTTCCAATACATTAGGGAATCTGAGTGAGTCACACGACTCCACACCTCAACTTCCTCATTGCTACATCCAGGAAAACAAGGAATATAGCTCCAGGAGCCAGAAGGCCCCGCAGACAGTTAGCTACACTGGGCCTTTCAGATATGCCAGAGTTCAGGTATCCCTTGAGCAGCAGCAGGCCAGGCTTTGCACCTAAGCCCTGGGGCAGGAGGTGCTGTCATCTGCACCCAACCCCTGCAGGGACTGCCAGCATTAGGGAGTTGATGGGTCAATTCAGAGGTAAGTGGCTAGGGCAGGCACAGACCAGGTAGGGGACCCCTGGAGGGGCTGCTGCCTAGGGTAGAGAGGCAGCTGAGGGGGCACCTTGCCAACCAACACCCGAATGAAGGCAGGGTGTTTCTGGGCCCAGAGCCAGTTGGGGGTTGGGGGGAACACAAAGGAGGGAGCTCGCCTTCCATGGGTGGGAGGGAGAAACGGCAGAAGCGGGATTCCGGAACTGGGTGGCAGGGGCTGCCACACTGTATTTTTAGCCCTTCCAGAAGCCCAGATTTTCCACTGCTTGACAACCCTTGGTTTTACAGAAGTGCACACATTCCCGGCAGCTTCCGGGACTCAAGCACAGCCCCTGTCCTACCCGGACCCCTACTGCCTTCTCTCCCAACCAGTCTCGGTTCCCAGCAGGGGTCACATCTTCCTGACTGTGAGCCCCTCAGGGACCTCAGCTGGCCCAGGGCTCAACTCAGGTAAGACATCCTATAGGCACAGTAGGCCTCAAGGAAGAAAAGAATTAATCTATCCATTGTCCTCAGGAAACAAAAGAATCCATCCACTGTCCCCAGGAAGCAAAACAATTAATCCATCCGCCATCCCTATATCCACATACATGGAAATATGCATGAGGCCAAGTCAAGAGGCTGGCCAAGCAGCACCTCAGTCCGTTTCCACTTGCCAGCGCGGCTCAGAATGAGTGTGCAGAAGCTCGGACTTCCAGTTCCCAATTGGTTGCCTATGGTGTGCAAGGAGAGCGAGGATTCCACTGGGCCACCCTAGTATGTGGGAGTCTCAGGGAGGGAGTGTGCCTGAAGGAGCTCTTAGCACTGGAGTTAACACTGTCACCAAGACACCTGCCTGAACGGCAACAGAAGTAGTAAACAGGAAATACCTGCTAGGGCCAGGGGACACCCTGTTCCTGCTCCCGTCCCCTCTGTTCCTGCTCCTGCTGAGAAAGGTGTCCACAGAGCAGCTGTGGGGGGACCCTGAGGGCAGGCTGGGGTGCTCTCGGTGTCCCCTTCCTCTACAGGAGTTTCACTCAGGCAAGCTGGAGACAGGAAGGGTGGCGGTACCCACAGCGAGCTGCTTTCACTTCCACCCGCTCTGGGATGATATGGGGACTCCAGTTGTCCTAGACTTGCAATGTCACCCCAGCTGCATGAAGTACAAGGACAGCCTGGCCCCCTCGGACATTCACTAAGTACTGGGGGCTGCAGAGAGGCATGGGGGAATGCCGACTCCATCGGTGAGGGCGCTCCTCCTGTGACCTCGTCCCTGGTGGGGTAGGAGGTATGCAGACCTGGGGTTCTGGGTTTGCTAAGCTCCACAGGAAGGAAGGCAGGGTTGTGACCGAGGGTTATGGTGCTATACACCCCAGCTCCATCTGAAGGGCTCAATTCGAGGGTTTGTGGTCATGGGGACCTCAGGCCTCACCCTAGAATCCATCTGCTTGGGTTTTCTCTCTCCAAAATCAGACACCCTTGGAAAGTCCTTCTCCAACAGGCCCCATGTGCTCTCTGACCCCTCAGACGTTTTCGGCAAGGCCTCTCCCAACCTTGACAGGACAGAGTTTCTTCAGGATTCATGTGGCAAGTGTTATGTGCTGGTCTGAGCTCAGCCCTGTCCATGCCCAGGATGGGAAAGCTGTCCTGTCCACCCACATCCCAGATCCCAGTCTCCACCCTCCGCCAGTGTCTAGCTCCAAGCTTCCCTTCCAGGGGCAATGAGAACAAAGACACACTGAAAGTGGGGGAGGGACTGCACTTGTATCCTCCAGCATAGCCAGAGGCATAGCCGGGTCTCACAGAGAAGACAAGGCTGCCTTCAAGTGAGGAGGCCTTCACCTCCGACCTGCTGGTTCCTTGACAACCCAATGGACTTCCTGTTTCTGTCTTCATACAAGCACGTCACTGCCAGTACCACGAGTTCTTGGTTGTCAGGAAAAAATGCCGCTTTAACTGTAACTACCACCGCACAAGGTCATCTCAGCCCTGACAGTCTCTATCTATTTAGCTCAGAGCTCCAGTCTCTGGGGCCCTGCTCAGAATTCCTCAGCCACCTGGTGTGGGGGAGCCAGTCAGGCCCAACCGGGCGAGCAAGATCCTCAGTGCACGCTCACCGTACTGGCGGGGAAATGAGGACACCAGGGTTTCTGCAAGAGAAAGCCTACTCTGGACTTGGGTTTCTTATTTGTACAGTGGCCAGGATGGTCACCAGGGAGCCCTGGACACTCAGCATGGATTGGCTGATCTAGCACTGTCAGAATGACAACCATCAGGCCTGCAAGCATCACACCTCCGCGGCTCAGCCTTCACTCTTCTCAGAGGTGACCTCCCCCCATCTCCCTGCAACCAGCTGCGGGGTTCTGCAACATGCCAGGGCCCAGCCCCTACTCCTGTCGCTACCTCCACAGCCCTCCCTCTGTGGAGACAGGTCTTGCACTAGGCCACTCATGTCTGTATATGACATGGGGCAGAGAGGTGTGGGACAGGTAGTGTCCTCCTCCCAGCCGTGGCCAGGCGGGAACAGACGTCTACCTCCCTGCTATGAGCACAGACAGCAGTAGAGCTGTGTCTGCAGCAGAAACGAGGACACAGGGGTGATGAGGAAGAGATGAGTTTGCACATGGAAACCACGGCCCAGGGTTGCAGGGGCCTGGAGCAGCAGATATGCCAGTCTGCTTTGCAAAGTTTGGAGGGGTCCCAGGGAAGCCACGCCTACCGCCATGAGGTGTGCTAAGCAGGAAGTGTCCTTCCTCACCCACTGGGCCTGGCTGGCCTAGCACGTGGCTTCGATGTTGGCTTCGTTCCTTCATGTGAGTTTTACACAGCCTCCTATCCACTAAGAGGCTCACATCCAGGCCCCAATCAGCCTGACCTCTGTCAGCGCAAGCCACACACTGGTGAGGCTGGGCCCATGGAAACATAGTACCCACGTGGACCTGGGATGCTCTGACCAAGTCCAGCTCTGGAAACACGTGGAATGCTGTGGCAGCATAGGCAGGGGCTGCCCTGGTACTCGGACTCTGCCAAGATCTCTGCAGAGGGCCAGCTAGCTCTCCTCAAGCCCACATGCCGCAGGAGTGAGCCAGAGGCAGGAGACTGGCCGAGGCTACCTGGCCTCCTCTCTGGGCTCTCCCATCCCCTCTTCTGTCCCATGTCTACTTCCTACAGAAAGGAAAGTCATAGTGAGGGTGAGCTAGGAAAGCAGCCTTGGCCATCCTGTCCTCCATCAGGGGTGAAGGGCCCTGGGCTTCAGTGCACACCTCTGTCCAGATTGGTTTTTCGTTATCTTAACGCAAGCTTGAGTTATCTGGTGCTCCTCAGCTGAGAAAAATGCCTCCATCAAATTGCCTGCGGGCAAGTCTAGAGGGCATTTTCTTGATAGACTGATGTGGTAGCACCACAGAGGGCGGTGCTGCCCCCACGCAGGTGGTCCTGGGTACTGTAAGAAAGCAGGATGAGTACGCCCACGAGAAGCAAGCCAATAAGCAGTTCTCCTCCTGGCCTCTGCTTTAGTTCCGGCCTTTAGGTTCCTTCAGTGATGGAACTGAGTTGTAAGAAGAAATAAACCTCAGGTTGCTTTGGTCAAGTTTCATCACTGTTGTAGAAACCCTAACTATGATACCTGCCTCAGTCACATCCCACTCCACCTACCAGTGCCCCATGAACCAGGTCCCAGGAGTCTAGGGCATCCGGCCCTATTATAGTCACTGGGAGGAGAGGGAGCCTAGAGGGTGAGCTTGCTTCACCCTATTTAGAGACTCAGCAGGAGCTACCTGACCGGGGCAAGGCCATCTGATCGTCTGAGCTGCAGTGGCCAGTCCTGAGATGCTGTCCTGTGGTGAGCGCATGCTCACTAAGGTCAGGCTACCAGGCTGAAGGCCACATAGTAGGGCGCCATTCTCAGAGCTCCATAAGGGTTAGGGAGATAAGAAGGCTTTGTGTGGCATATCACTGGGTACCACCTCCTGGGGGGGGCAATGTCGGTACAAGGAATTGATGTCTAAAGCACAGTCATTCTAAGGGCCTCTTGTCAGGATAGACAGAAGCACATACAGTCTCCCGATGGAGTGGGAGCCAAAGGGCCAGATGGGCCCCGACAGCCCTTGGCTTGTCTCCGCTCAGCACGCAGACCTGCTCACAGACGGGAAGGAAAGGAGGGCTCGGGGCCAATGCTTGAAGGATCGTGGAGGTGGCTCCAATGGAGGAGAGACCCTAATCAGCCCCTGCCTGTTCCTATGTAATCACACATTAGGAGAGGGCCACAAGGGGACACTGGCGCAGCTGGCACTGTCCCCTCCCCAGTTCCTGTACAGCTGGAAGCACCATGTGCTGGGTGCTGGGCAGGTGGGTAGTTCCGTACAGATCCTACTTTGGCTCAAGGCCCGGGCTGTCTGAACTTTCTCAACAAGATTTTCTTCACTCAGGTCAGGCTACCAGGTTGAGGCGACATAATAGGGCTCCTATTCTAACACCTCCGGAGACAGGGACTCCATCCTCTCTGTACACGCCAGACACGCCTCAGTCCGCTTCAGGCCACAGGGGCATCTCCGTGGAGACAGACTCACTCTAGAAAGAGGCAGGCAGCCCTTTCCAACAGAGGACGTCTGCTGGATGAGGAACTGTGCACCTATTAAACACTTTATGTGTGTAAGACAGAAGTAGGGGAGTCAGGTAGTATCCCCCAGACCCCGGGAACCAACACATCAGCACCCTCACAGAGCCCAGGAGTTGTGCCTCCTCCAGAGAATGCCATCATTCCTGTCCAGAATGGGCCAGCAGTAGCCTGCCTGCACCCAGCATCTAGCAATTCCCCTGCCTCCCCCAACAGCTCTCATGAGCCTGAAAACTTTCCCTCTGTAGCAAGTGCACTTTGGTAGAAGGTGAACAAGTCTATTTAAGGTAGGTGCTTTCAGGTCCCAGCACAGGGAGATGTGTGCAATTAGCTCCGACAGCCATCAGCACCCCCACAAAGTGAGGGGCCTCTCCTGAAGGTTAACTCGTTGCTGCTGTTCAGGAGCAGAACCCTTGTTAGCAGCTTGCTTGGGTAGGGTGGTGGAGGGCAGCCCTTCCTGGGAGGGCTGGACTGGGGCTAGAGAGTTTAGGGAAGGGGCGGGAGGGTAGAACCGGCAGGCTCAGCTCCTACCTGGTAGGAGTACCCTTCTAGGTCAACTTGGACAGCTGCCCCTGAGCCAATGGGTGGGGACAGGGAGACCTTTCAGTCCCCAGCCTTGGAACAAACACCCATTTTTGCTACAAGTGTCTGCTCCCCAAATGCTCCCTGCCCTGGGTGACACCCTGAAGAGATCTAGATGTTTGCTCATGTCTGAGCCACTGTCCCCACCCTTCAAGAATGGGAGAAGAAACTGAGGCCCAGAGAAGGCAAACGCCACAGGAGGACTAGTGAGAAGGGAATTCCCAACTGTAGCTTCAGCGTGGGTGTGCGGGCGTTGGAGAGGGTGCACTGGCCTGGAGTTCAGGCAGGATAAGGGCCATTTTGCCATTGACTCCTGGTGTGCCCAACCTGCCGCTGTGTGACATGGGACCCTGCTTGGTTAAAGGCCTGGATAGATAGGCCTACAGACCCCGCTCCACCCCATAGTCCTCTGGGGAGTCCACCAAGGCATAGTTGGGGTCACTCAGCTTTCCTTCTAAGATCACCTTCATTCCTGCATCCTTGCCCAGGATGGTGGTTGACAGATGTTGCCACAAGAAGCAGATCTGTGCCACTCCCTCAGGTCGGCCAGTAAGGTGCAAGAGTCTGCAGGGGCATCTTTAGAAGCTAGCCGTCAAGGCGGGGCCGCAAGCCTATATTGTGCTACTTTGTAGGCGGACCTCGAGTTGAAGTTTATTTTCTCAACTGTGGCTGATTCATGGTCAGGATGTGGTAGCCGCAAGGTGGGGGAACTCCTCCACCAGTCAGACCCTGGGCAAACACCCTGCAAGCAGTGAGCGACGTTCCCCTGCCGGTAGTCTAGCGCTTAGAGCGCGGACCGGAATCTTGGCTACATTGGTGCCTACGCGGCAGCTCGAAGCCCTCTCCTCAATCTCAACCGTTTTGCTCACCGTCCCCAGACTCAGTTTCCCTATGGTTCCAGACTAGCCCGAAGCCTCAGACTTACCGGGTGGGGGCGCAGCGAGAGGTAGTGCTGAGGTTCCTCTGTCCGGGCGCCTGAGCGTCTGGTGCTGCGGGCGGCGGCCCCGCGGCTGCTTTCCGCACGGTCTAACCTAACCGCGCTCGCGGGCCGGGTGGGGCGGGAGGGAGGAAGGGGAGGTGCGGCCCCGCCTGGCGGCGGCCACGTGGGGGGCGGTGCTGCCCGGGGCGGGGCAGGGTGGGGTCTCCAAGGAGGCCCTGCCCAACCGGGTTTGGCTTTTCTGCGAGGGCGGAGAGATGGGAAGGAGTGGTACCTTCTGGGCCAGGCTGGGGACCCGACGAGAGTGACCCCTTTGCCTCTGACCTCACTGTCGGTTCCCTCCCAGGCTCCCTAGCACGTTCCTGGTCTGCCCCCTACGCTGGCCACCTGTTCAGGTTCCCCACCCACTCTGGTCCCATTCTGCCTCCTCCATGGGAGCCCTGCTCTGGGCTGCTGGTTGTGGGTCCTCTGATGGATGCCCCACCCTCGCCCTTCATGGGAGATAGCTCTTTCAGTTTCCAGTTCTGTCCTGAGGACCTGAAGTGCAATCCCTGGCCTGAGTCTGGGCTGTGACCCTGTGCAGCTTCAGTTTCTCCGGCTTGAAGCAGTACCTCTAAAAGTTTATGACCATGAACAAAGGTTCTCCACTCCCTTGTGTCTCGAGTACCCCAAGCTGAGTGGAGGACGTGTGGCTGATGGGCTTTGGGTCTCTGTCTAACCTTGTAGCCACTTCTATTCTGGACATAACCTCATGTGGGGTGCTCAGGATTCTTCTCAGCCACATGGAATTAAGCCCACCCTTGGTTGCCTGTAAATGTCATCTCCCGCTTCTGTGCCCCTTGGGTGGCCCCATCATCTCAGTCCCTGGAAACCCTGGCTGGGTCCCAAGCAGGAATAGTCTTTGATAGCCAGCCAGTACTGGGATGGCCCTGAGTGCAGGGTGTGCACTGGGGAGCCCGCCAAGGCAGGTGCTGACTGGCTGTTGGACACTGTCCAGCCTGGGATATAAGTTGTGGTCATTCCCAGACTGGGGCTGGCTTGTTCTTAGAATGCACAGTTCTCGTAGCCTCTACCTAAGAGGGTTACCCCAGTAACCCTCAACACAGAGACCTTCCTGCCTTTTCCAAACTGCAATTCTGATTATTCAATATCACTTAGGTCTGGCACCATTGGGAAAGGGGACATCAGATGAACTCACCTCTGTCCTGGACTTCCTTTGGTCAGTGATGTGTTTCTTTATCCATAAGGAAGAATGTGACTTCAGCCCCACCCTGGAGGACTGCTGGCCTCATCTACCTGAGCCACCCTGAGAGGCTCTGAGGGAGCTGTGCCATCTTTCCAGGGGCCTCTGCCCTCAGTAGCCCTGATTGATGGAGGTGGAGAGCCACTCCCCCCAATCCTCCCCATTGGATCTCTCAGTAGCCCTGTTAGAGGTGGAGAGCCACTCCCCCCAATCCTCTCCATTGGCTTCCTCAGTAGCCCCGATAGAGGTGGAGAGCCATTCCCCTCCCCAGAATCCTCCCCCCAACCCTCCCCATTGGCTTCCTCAGTAGCCCTGATAAAGGTGGAGAGCCATCCCCCCCCTTCCCCCGGCTTCTGCTCGGAGACTTTCTTCCCTGAGTGGGGTTGGCTGGACCCAAGGACCGGGTTACATTGCAGGTACCATATGGGCACTGCTGGGGACCTATTGGAGCTGTACCTCAAGGTCAGGCCAAGTCACAAGAGGCCAGAGCAGGCTGAAGAGTGGGTAGCTGGGGTGAGGGGTCAGAGATCTGGTAATTTGTGGCTATGGCTCCTGGAGAACTGGGACTTTCCCTTGGCCCTCAGCTGGGGATCTGGCAGAGCGGAGAAATCTTGGCTTTCAGGAACACCACCTGCTATGGTTGCTGATATTCCCAGCCCCTTCCCATTTCCCTTTTTCTTCATTTTTTTTTTTGAGTTGTTATTCCATGTAGCCTAGAAATCTTGATTCTCCTGTCTCAGCTCTTGGGAAGTAACAGGATTACAGGCTTGTGTCACAATACTTTATCTCTCTTTCTCTCTCTCTGCATTACCAGACACATCAACCCCATCCTGAGCTTTCTGCACCAAAGGGTTAAGAGGGAAGAACAAAGTGGCCTCAGAAGTGTGTTTCTCTGATCATGCTCAGCACACTGGACCCTTCATGACTATAGGAATTTCGTTCTAGAAGCCCTAGCTATGGACAGCACATATCCTGGCGAGTGAGTTTGCCTTTGCAGCTGGAAGCACACAGTACTTCCTCACACCCCAACACTAGATTCCTATAGACACGTAAGCACGCACCTGCCATCCACACCCTGGACCAACAGAACACCCAGCAGAGGCCCACACACCTGCCCACACTGAGAGTGTGCCCCCAAGCTGACATGCCAAGGCCACCGCCTAGGAGAGCTCACCACTGCCTCACCAGGAAGCAGAGACTCGCTGCAATTGGAACCAGGGAGGAGCAGACCTCGGCACTGCCAGCTTGAGCTTCACGGGAACAAAGCAAGCAGGCGTGGGTGTTTCCAAAAGAGAAGTCTTCCAGCTGGGTGGGATGGTTAGCATGGTGTACAAGGCCCAGTCAAATAGCTGGTGTAGCAGGTGACCCCTTGAAAGGCCCAGAAGGGATACTTGACCCTAGGACCCCAAGCAGCAGCAGCAGTAGAAGCCAGGCTTGGGTTTCATTTCCTCCGTCATCTCTGCTCCTGGAATGTTTTTTATCTTTTGCCTTTGAAACCGTTTCTTTTCCCTTCCTCCTGGGTGCCCTGAGATGCCTTCTGATGCTGTTCTAGAACGAAGCAAGTGAAAGCTCGTCCGCACACCCACTCACACCCACCTCCCCGCCGATCCTCCCATCTACCCTGGACAAGTGTTCTGACAGAGACAAGACCAGTCCACTTACCTTGGCTTTAGTGAGAAGGCTGCCGTGGGTTCTGGCCCCAGGCCCAGACTTTCGAAATAAGCTCTGCTGTGCAGCTCACTGCGGCCCATGGCATTCTCCCTTTCCCCTGTGTGTCTCTAAGTGCCTGTCTGCCGGAGGCAGATCCTGGAGAGAGCTCATCCCTGACCCCGGGAAAGGGCAGGTTGGAGCAAGGACTAAGCATCTTTGAAAAGGGACAGAGTGTAGGTTGGTAGCCAGGGGCTTGGCTCTGGCAAGGCCTTTATCCTCCTGGTCTGGATATTGCACACCGCATCAGAGCATCTCAGAACTGCAGACTCCGTGTTTGTGAATATGCCTGCTCACTGAAATTAGCTACAGCCCTGAGATCAATACTGGAAGTACATTGGCAGTCCTTCACAGACACATGCACACATTGAGAAAGTCAGGGTCACCAATGGACAGGTGGAAATTTCCTCCATCTATTTAGGGCATGATCATGCATTTTTGTGCTTCTTATTGGTGATCTTACCGTTAAAGTGACCCTAGGCGTAAGCTCAAAAGGGCCGATCCATGTCTGTGTACCATGCGAATGAAGAGGGCAGCTGATAACCTGCCGGAGTTACAGACGGTTGTGAGCTGCCACGTGGGTGCTGAGACTTGAACCAGTGCACACTGGAACCTCAACCAGTGTCCTTAACTGCTGAGCCATCTCTCTAACCCCTACTAAGTCCACTTAGCTTTGCTTGTACATACATGTGTCCAGGGCTGACCATTTAGGATTGGACAACCTGTGTGGGAGCTGTGTTTGCCAGAGGAAACAGATTCTCCTCCGGCAGCCATTGGCCGACTGTAGTTCTTTGCTTAGGTGTAGAACCTTGGGGTCTTACTCCTGGCTAAGCCGGCATGTCAACTGCTATTGTCATTATGCTGGTCTTGCTGAGCAACCATATTGTTAAGAGTTCACAAATACCTCTCCCCGTCGTGTCTAGCGGATACTATCTAGCAGTAAAAGTCCTAGACTCATTATTTTTCATTGCTTTGAAATATACCCTCATTAAACACATCAACAACCTATACAGCCATTAGACTGCTGGTGGTCAATGGGGTTGGTGCAGTCAGCCATTGGGATATGCATCTACACATCCGGACATGCTTCCTGGTCGGCTTAGCTCTTAGGTGGACTCCCAGCACGGGGTTGTCATCATTTCCCCTGGCTTCTTCCTCTGCTATAAAGGTGACACCTCAGACACCTCACAGTTGGACTCTGAGCTAGACAGATGTGCACGGATCATTAACTGCTTGGTGGCCTTCCTTATCCCACACCCCTGGCCAGCCATGGTAATACCTGGAACCATGCCCAGAGCATAATTTGGGCCTTTCTGCTGATCTTCAATGAGCCCAACCCTAACTCTACCCCTCCACACAGACACACACACGTTTCCCTTCTCCTGTCTGAGACTCTGGTTGCCCCCCCCCCACAGAGCATAGCCCAAAGACATGCTTAGTGCAATGGGGGTGGGAAGCCCTTAGTTTTAACTTTTTGATGGGGTTGGGTCATCTTTTGCTAATAGGATAGTTCTGCAGTTAATTCTGTGAGAAATCACTGGACCTGAAGCCTAGGTGTTAGGAAATGGAGGGTGGGGAGGGAACATGTGCACATGATGAAATCCCTTGCTGTGTCCCATTGAGGCTTTGAGTGGAGGGTGCTTGGATTCCACCCTGGCCTCTGAAGGAAAGTAGTCTTATTCTTAGTAGCCTTGAACCTTTAGATTTTTAGGAGGCAGGGCCGGGCAGGGAGAGGGCTGAGCAAAGAATCACATCTGTGCTCTTCAAGTGATATGAACAGAGCCTACATGTCCCCTCTGCTGGCTTTGGCCATGGACTGACATAGGGCTGGGGAAGCAAGGGGTGTGATAGTATTGATAACTGAAATGAAGGGATGCCACTGTGGGCTGACTCACAACGACCTTGCTGGTCTCAGCCCTTCCCAATGCACTCCAGCACTCCCAACTTGCTCTCCACAGACCACGTCTCTGGGGGCTCCCTGAATGTTTCTCCCCACTTACCACACTCGCCTTCAGGTCCCCTGGTCACCATGGACAACCCACTCTGCCCTGCCATGCCTGGCGGATGGTCCAGAAACTCTGAGAATCCAGGTGAAGAAAACAGTGGACAAGGGCATGTGCCCCAGTGTGTAGGATAGGAAGAGAGCGATGTTGTGTGGCTACCAGGGGGATATCA